TTTTCAGTCGGTTGTCGCCTTCATTCAATCCTTCATCCTTGATTGTCGTCAACCACAGTGGAACATTAGATAAAAAATGATCAGGCGTTCTTGCAGAAGTTGAAAATTTTTCAGTATTGTGCGCCATATCATTACAGTCTACCCATATATAAGGTTACTCGGAAATCAGTGTAAGATTTGTTACTTAATTTTTCTCGCCTACGTCTTAGCAGGAGTTTCGTTTTAAATCCTGCACTGTTATGTATTATTACAAGGCTATTTTGTAGACTTTCATTGGTATAATTAAATTATAGGCTTCCAACGGTTTACCGAATCATGGTGGCCGGTAGATGTTCCTGTGTGTCGTGCTGCGATATACAGCGAGGATACTCATCCCACTGAAGGACCTCTCAAGTCGAAAATGAGTTCGTCGTTTCCAGTAGGTTGCCCAGCTACAAGTAAACCAGTACCAGGATCCATCACCGTCCTGGTATCAAATTAGTTGCATTGTGGCAAATCTCCGTCTTATCCACAAAAGCGGCTGCTCTCCCTGCGATGGTGATAATATGGGGGAGACTTTTGCTAGGCTGACCTCAGGCTTCAGAAAACCACAATGGCTAGGCCAGTAAAACTCTGAAAAATTAGAGATTATGCCTGGGACGGCACAAAAATTGAAGACGGGCCATCCAGCTTTCCAAGTAAGTAGGTTTATTGCAATATAACCCTAGACAACATCGATAGCATAAAGGGATTTCCACGACTTTTCAAGCACTGATCGTCCTACGGATAAGGAATTCATTTTGAATTCGTCTCAGAAGATCAAATTGTGCATCGTGTGTATGCATATATGCATATATAAAAGTATATATTTATCTTACACATATGTTTGCTATAGGGCGCGTGTGGCACAGTGGTTGAAGGCACCACTGCGACACACACGTGGAATCGATCCTCGCGCCCTTAGCCCACCAAGGCTTCCATCACTCCAGGGTAGGCAAGTTGGTATAGGACTTGTCTGGGAGGATAGGCGCGCTGGCTGGATACATCGATGGCCCACCGCGAGTCATTGTAAAGACCAGATATCCATTCAATCATCTCCAAACGACGCTTAATGAAGTCGAATGCATGGAGCATACTGCAAAAATTGATCAACGTTGAGAGCCTTATCCTTTTATCCTTTTCAAGAAGGCAAGTGGTTCCAGATGAATCTAGTGCCGGTTTTCCCACTCACAATGCGATGAGTGGCTACGTGGATATGGGGTAGATCGAGACTGCCGTTTGCTAGTAGTGGCTGTTTTGCAAAAAATTTTCATCTTTTCTGATGATTATGATAGAAAATAGAATAACAAATTTGTTTCCGGGCATTTACTCTGTATTCTTGGACGATTAGTTGCCTATATATTGTCGAAAAAAGATGTCGTTGAATGCATTCCGCAATACCGCAAATGAAATGGAATTCGTTCCATCACCACAAAAAGAGGCCATTCGCCTCTTCGACCCTCAAACAGTTTCTGCTCGTGCAGTTTTTACCACTGTGGCACCATCATGCATGAATTTGCTGCATCTATTCCTACCTCTGCAGAAATTTGGTTGTATATCTTTTTGGTGGAAGTGGAGGTAATTTAGTGTCGGTAAGTGGTTGTGGTTAGTTTTCAGAATTCGTGAAGTCTTCTGGCCTTCCAACCGTCTTCAACCGTGCTGTCATCTGAAGTCGAGAATTGTTTTTCTGGTTGGAAGAAATAAGAAAGATATCAGCACTTTCGTTGAATACAAAAGTTTCGTTCCTTCTCTCGTGGGCCGCCTCTTTCTCCATCTCAATAATGCTCTTTTTCCTATTCAATTTATCAACGCGCCCAGCACGAAAGTATGGATGTGAGTGTGAATTTGAATCGCCATTCTTAAAGAGACACTTTACTGCCGTCATGTTTTTCCAGCGGGTACAGCATAAAAATTAATCAGAACTGATCAAAAATTGACCAAAAATAGGAATTGATCACTAAGATGCTGTTGCGCGAAACTTGGATAAGCAAATCTTTACGTAACCATTATTAGGAAACCAATAATGGCACGACGAAACCAACACAGATATATAAAAATAGTGCAAGTAGTCACATGACTAACACACAGAGATATTACAAGAAATGGGAAAGTACATTAAGAGAAAGTGAAAAACTTTTAAGGTGCGCACAGCGTAGTAGTACGAAAAGCAAGAAGAATGTCATATAACTTTGGCCATGCACAGCTACACTTAGTGAGAGTGCATCAGGGTGCTAAAATGAATGAGCTTACATATTTGGTTGTTAATTCGAGATACCTAATTCACTGTTTTACTTTTCTTGAAGAGCAAACACGAGGTTTTTCTTATTATATTCATTCACGATGGCGACCAGTTAGGCGGATTCCAGCTTCTTCAAGGCCTAAAAATGTCCAGTTGACACACAGTTTGCTCAGCCAGCTGCCACCATAACCTCAGCAGAAAATTCAAAGTGCGAATATCAGTCACATAGCAAAGAGCTGCTTCAGGTGTTTACAGCTTTCTATTAGTTTTGCACTTATTCTTACTATTGATAAAGACCCTCCTAACGACTTACCGCCTCATTGTGGCTGGGAGGTGTTTCTTAGTGTCGGGTTGCTTTGTATAGCGGGGTGATTCATTCCTTTGGTAGGGTCTCCCAAGCTAAGAAGGATTCCAGCCTTTCCATCAAGAAGCCTTGCTAAGAGTGAACCAATACCAGGATCCACCACAGTCCTGGTAACAAAGTCGCATGTTGGCAAATCTTTCTCTGATCGACAAAGGCAGCTTCTGCTTGCAGTGGTGAAGACCTGAGGCCAGGCTGATCTCGGGATTCCAGTGATCCACAGTGACTTAACCAGCAAGTCTCCGAGAAATGGAGATTGTGCTGAGGCCCGCACAACCGGTTAGGGCAGGCTGTTCGAGTTTAAAGTAAGTATTGATAAAGTTGAACCGCACAGCACCTTACATGGGTGAGCAATGTTCGTGATACAGGACAACAAATTATCCTCATATATTGCGTGCTTACGGTTTCCTGCAACGCCGTAGGCGTCTTTATTCTTTGTTAAATTGCCAAAGTTTTTGTGAAAGGCCAGAAAAAAAAACGTTTTTGGAGGTAAATGGATAACTTTGAAAAAAATAATGTTGAATCGTCTGCAGATAATACAGTGATATTACTGAATTTTTTCCCATAGTTTGTTTTTGGAAAGCTAAATTTTTCCTGACAGGCAATAGCGCGAAGATAGCAGCACCCTCTTTATGTGTTACAAATTTATATTAGAACTTTTCGGCCACACCTCAGTGGTAGCTTGATGTCTATGCCTAGCCAACGAAGATTGTCAAAGCCGCTATTAATCCAGTCTCTTCTACTGTAAACATCGGATTCTGGATGTCAGTTGTCCGATTAAATCGACGTTATTGGTTAAATCCGTGTCCGTGTTAAACGCTGCCAACTGCTCTATTGTCACATGTTTCGAGAAACAGTTCTTCTCCACTGACATAAAAATCGTTTAGTGGACGTCGGCTTTTTCCCGGCCAGTCCGATAACGCCTTACCTTTCCCTTGACTGCACGGTTACTTCATCTACAGAGGATTCAGATGTAAGTGATCGTTTATTCCAGGTACAAATAGTAACCGCAGTGCTTTGGGGTATAAATAGTCTAGAATAAACATAAGAATTTAGCATTCCTTGCGAACTGGTCTAGATAATTTTGTCGTATGGGAAGCTCTATCCAAGTCAAGGAAATGAGACCCAGTTATTTTGCTGTGCACAGACTTTGATATTAACGTGTAGCGTGCTGAGCTCCGAACGAGGGCTGGATGCACCCACAGGTAGTTTGCTAGTCTCTCCTAGAGTGAACAAGAAGCTTATTTGCCTCACGCGTACCCTAACTCCCTGCCGAGTGGCTCGCAATCGTTTGATTGCAAGCCTTTGACCGAATTGACTGGTGGAATACAATCCACGTAAACGGGAGCGCATTCACGCAAGCATGCTCACATATATTTTCGCAAACACACAACAAAGTATGTGTTATGTCGCTGTAGCAAAAACGGAGAGACCATCCCTTGGGTCCATTTGCACCTCATGGAAGGGCAACGTCGTTTTTGTTTTCCGCGAACCTCCCATCCGTCACTCGGGGAGGCACCACGGTATCACGCAACAAGCCGATAGGAGATCCATCTATGGAGAGATTTCCGATAGATTCTAATTTTTCTGAATAAGATATTTCCATTGTTATACCTGTTACTATTGGCCGCGGCTTTTTAATGCGCTGAACTATGGTATACAGCAAAGGATTTCCCACCTCAAAAAGCCTTCAGATTAAGAGCATGACCCAAATTTCCATCTGGAAAGGTAAACCAATTCATGCAATCACTACCATACCGAGAGCGATATAGTTGCTAACATGTAAGTGGTAATGACTCTAGAAAATTTTTGCAATGACATTCAAAGCAGAAGAGACTTTTGACCTTGCTTCACCAAAAGATTTTCTCTCTAAGGGGGAACGTACTGGGATTTGTAAGAATTCTCGTGAATACTGAGGTGTGAAGGAAATCTGTAGCTTCCATGGCGTGCTCAGTTAAGACTAGCAGGTAAAATTCTAAACTATAATATACTCTGTTATAAAAATATAGTCTGTTTTAGTGGTCCACGGATCTCCATCATATGAGGGATCCCGAGCCGGTTAACCGCGAGGCTACGTGGCGCGTCTCCAGGTGGCGGATAGAGGGTTAATCGCGGACCAATAGCGACCCTTTCTTCCCTGAGACGAAGGTGGATCCAGCTGATAGACTCCCTGTTTCTGCTACTCTAATTCGGCACATACTTTCTGTATTTGCTAGGCGCATTCATGCATACGTGTTTGCAGCCTTGGGCAGGACGAGTACGGAGAGGCTGCTAAAATCTCAAGGTTAATGGAAGCTGCCTGGATCATGAAGAACTAAGGTGACGATCTGTAGCTACAATGCACGTGCACTTGCATTTGAGTTCTCGATAGAAGACTTGCTCATGCAAGCAAAAAGGGTAAGGTACGACGTCATCGGCCTGGCCGAGACGAGAAGATGCCAGCCTTTCAACGCCGTCTATGACACCGGAGAAAAACTGTTCATCGGAACATGCGACAGTAGAGGAGTCGGCGGCGTCGGCGTTCTCGTCAACACGAGTTTGTTCATGAACATCGATTCATTCGAGCAACTTGCAATCCGAATCGGACGTTTACGGTTGAGAAGACGTGGATCAATTTTGGCTTTGACAATCTCCGTCGTTTACGCGCCGACATCAAACTATGACAAAGAAGAAGTCGAAGCGTTCTATATTGACTTGGAGAAGCTCTACAGAGTAGACCACACATTCTTCATGGCCATCATTGGAGATTTCAACCCCAAGACTGGACCAAGAAGAACGTCTGAAGAAAGTCACATTTGGACCCACGGATTAGAATGGAACAAGCAGGGTGAGCGGCTATATGAGTTTATCATGGCGAACAAGACAACTCATGGTAACTCGCAAAACGATGCAGAGAGGCGATAAGAGAAAATCATAAAAACAGAAGAGCAGTAGTAATGGCCGAAGCTGCAGAGGCTGGAAAAAGCATTCGCCAAGCCCACCAAAGCTTCGCCGATTACAAGACCAAAATGATTGCTCTCCGGCGCCCAGACGGAACAGTTACAACGTCCAGAAAGGCAGTGGAGAAAATCATTCACGAATGCTACTCGGATCTCTTCGATAGCCACGTTTCCTTCCATCATATAAAATGAAGGAGGATTGATGTGTTGTTCCACATGCATGGACCACGACGGACCACATGCACACGGTAACACTGCTCATTGATGTATCGCGAGAGAACAAAAGACCGCTCTGTCCCACTTTCATCTAATTACAGCAGGCCTTTTATTCAATTGAGATAGAAGCAGTCTTGGAAGGCCTTGATAGTCAAGGAGTTCCTACTCAGTACATAAACGTTCTTCATGAACTGTACATAAATTTCACAACGAAGATATCACCATTCTACAAGGATATTAACATTGACGTCAAAAAAGGAGTTAGGCAAAACGATACCATCGTGCCAAAATTATTTACTACCACCCTCCAAAACGTCATACAAACATTGGAATGGGATAATATCGGAGTGGAAACCGATGGTCGACAGTTACACCAACTTCGCTTTGCTGATGACATCGTCCGTATAACACCAAACATTAGCCAAGCGGAATGTATGCTTGACGATTTTGATAAAGCCTGTGGAAAGATTGGTCTTCGACTAAATCTCACAAAAACGATGTTTATGAAGAACGGATTGGTTTCGCATGCTCCATTCACGCTCAACGGAACGAATGTTTCCGAATGCTCCAGTTATATCTATCTAGATCGGGAAATCAATGTGATGAACTACCTAGTTCCACATCTGAGCAGAAGAAAACGAGCGGCTTGGGAAGCTTTCAAAAGCATCGAGAATGTAGTGAAGAAGACAAAGAACACCCGACTCAGTGCCCACCTTTTCGACTCAACGGTACTTCCTGCCTTAGTATATGAGTCAGAAACCTGGTGGCTGCGTAAGCAGGATAAAAGATCACTCAGCGTTATCGAAGACGCAGTTGAAAGAACGACGATAGGAGTACCCCTTTCCACACAAGTAAGGGATGGGATCCGAAGCTCCGATTTGCGTCAACCATTAAAAACCTAAGATGCCGGTCTGTACGCCAAACAGTCGAAGATAAGGTGGGCCAAACACGTAATGCGTATGAATGACAACCGATGGACAAGAGCCGTTAGTGAGTGGATTCCTCGGGATGTCAAACGTACTGCAGAAAGACCACCTACTCGATGGTCAGAGTTCTTCACAAGGAGCCTTGAAAAAAGATATGATGCTCGACGAGTTTCTAGAGCGAGCAGAACCCACGGAGCTACCCTTTTATGCAAGAAGGAAGAATGGAAGATTTACCTGCGCCCGCTCAAGTCACTCGTCGATCAACGGGACTACAGGTGATACAGGTGATACAGGTGACAGTTATAAAGTCGAGCCTCAAGTTGTCTGTGCAGAAATGCTTGTATAACGCCAAGGTCTATTGGTAAATAATGTAATGGACTAATGATTCATGAATAGGGTTCAAATTTGCGTTATAAGTTACCTAGTCTTTATATTTTGCGCAACAATTTTTCCGTAAATACCAAGCCACCCGCGCGCGTTGGTGTGCTTAAAAGCGGGTTACGTTTTTGGTATGGGGATTCATTCTACCTGAAAATTAATGCACTGTCGTTGCTCATGCTGAATTTTTTTTAAACTGCCAATGTTTTATCTAGGAAAGGCAAAATACGCTTCATTTTATAAATATAGTGCTTTGATGATTTTGTTTGCTAAGGCCAAATTCCAAGTTAAATAACAATAATGGATACTGCAACTAAGAGTGTTTGCCAAATACTCCATCGTAACAAGGTTTATCATGGCAAGACATAGGAACAATATGTCCCTTTGTTCTTCAGGAATTTCTTCTTTGGAGAGCAGTTCAGTAAGTGGTCAATGACGGTGACACCGCAGCCCGCAGGAATATCCAAACATGAATCAGGTGATGGTGCGCGTCCAATAGTGCCAGTACAAGAATCAACTTTTTCCCATGGGCGCTTGCCACATAGTCGCACATGAAAGTGAGTTAAAATTTCATAATGGGGTAAAGCATCACATTTACACGATCTCGATCAAAACTCGCGAAGACATAGCAAAGCCGGATGTAGAGATCGACATTACTACGTAATTTTTATTATTTCAATATAAACCTGTAACATGTAACGCCGGAATGAGCGCTTGAGGTCGCGTACAAATTTGTTCTAATGGCATCACATACACTTGCCTCAACCCAAAAGAATCATCTTGCTGAAATGAAAATCAGTGGGTGTCTGAGAACGTTTTATCTTTCGAGACCACAAACGCTTTGTTGTGATCGAATTCTAAGGTGCTTATTTTTTCACTAGTTATAAATACTTCCTAACCCAGTAAGCCACCATTTTATCTGGTTATTTCAGAACGGTCTGATTCTATTACGTCTCCGTTACAAAAATTTTAATCCATCAGTGATATAGGCGGATTCAGAACCAGAGTAGGATGTACGTCAACATTTATTACAATGAATTTCGATCGCTGCTTAATTTCATCAAATCACTCTTAGGTTTCAAAGCGAATTCAACAGCAGTCGCACCAAAATTGTGAAGTGAATAGCCCCGCCTTTATCCATCTCAATACATCCGAAACAGCAAAAGTTTAATGTTGCTGAAAAAGGTCTTCTAAGAAATTTAGCAAAAAAAGTTTAAAAGTACTTTTAACGGTCAAGAATTGTCATAAGATACACAGCTCGAGTTTGCTTTGTTGTAGTTATTACGCAAAAGAATACTCGTGCCGACGACGCGCGCTTATCTATTATCTGTCTTATCTATTAGAGCGCTATTTCATTGCCTACTTTCTGACTGACACGATCGGATCGACGTCTGGTGTCATGGTGATCTGATTTCATAAAAGAATAGGGCAGTCGCGTTTCGTGAACTAAAAGCGAAATCAACACTATTGGATTGTGGATAGTTACTGCTTTTAAAAATCGCTAAGTTAGAATAAGAACTGGTAACAGTTGAGCTAGATTTACACAGTTTATATTTTGTGACAAGAAAGAAGACGTAACCTGAGGCTCACACCCGTTCATTAGCGATTTTGCGGTGACAATTACTGTGTAGTTAAACATAATTACCGATCCTATCTTTCCATCTGTTGCATCCTTGTAGCTAGGTACCATTTCAAAGGCGTGTTTGACTAGCTTGAAGTTTAACTCGGTACCAAATGTGAAAAAGGTCTGGATTACGGTCATGGGAAAATTAAGAGAGCGAAGTGGCAAGTTATATGTTTTACTTCTCATGTGGTACGATCAACTTTTTTGGGTACTATGTGTTTTTTATGTTTTCCATTCGATTTCTCATTTTATTTTAAATATTTTAAACAGTTCGATTCTAGTAGCATCACTGACAATTTCAACACCTTGAAGCGTCCTTGAGTAATCGGTTAATCGTACATACACTCTGAGAAAAAATGTCTGTGATCCTATTACTTGAGAACCCTTTGTACCGAATGGGTATCGACAAGTCTACAATACCTAACCTCATACTCATATCGAAATACACTTACACTTGTATAGACGCATCTTACACATGTAACATAGACATTCGTTAATTAAGAAGCTCTTGCAAAGACTGTGTTAGCTTCTAATGATGAGACTAAAAGTTTCTCTTCTTTATTAGTTGCACGGTACTAAACACTAAAAAAGTCGGCTTTTTTGAATGTTATGAATTCCACCAAAACTCCTACACTTTTCGTTTCCTTATAAAGGTTAAGAGTGTGTGCAACGCAGTGGTTAGAGATGCCCTACAGTACACATGGGTTCTCAAGCGGGCGTCAGGTTCACCAACCCTTTAAAAGCTTTATTTTTTATCCCTTATGAGAACTGATGCTTGCGACTGCCACTTCGTGATCGTTAGCTTACCGTCCACTTGTGCATGCAGCAGACTGACGTAACCTACAAATAAGCTAGCCAATCTTAGTTAACGTTTGTAGGATGTATGAAAATTTTGAAGATTTACGCGAAGGAGATGGTGCAAATAGAATATTGCGGCATGTTACAGACATGTTATGCGAAGTACTCGAAATGGAATCTTACTTATTAAGTAGGTTCCACATTCTCAGTTTTGAAATAACCTACCTCTTGTAGTTATCGAAGGCATCCACAGACGGGTACAAAATAGAGAATGAATCGTCGATTTTGACAGGATTCCCTCCTGTACAGGTGGGGAACAACAATTTCAACGTTGGTCTACCTGTCGTTACGCTTCCAGTAAAAACTTTTAACAACGGAAGACGGATGGATTCAGAAAATTGGTTTATGAGAGGTGCTGCTGTGTTTGATAGCACAACACACACAGCGTCGTATGTGCAATCAGGTAAAAAAATGAATGCTTCGATTCGCTCCTGTACTTTTCATACTTTCACTTCTGTTTTCCAGATTAGTTTTTTTTTGAACGATTAAAAGCGCCAAAATTTACGCTTGCAGATACTTTCCTCTTTTAGAATTCAAGTAATGGTATCTTCTATTTAAAATTCGAAATGAATTGCCTAGGCTGTTTCAATGTCTTGCATGTTTTTTATTAAGTTTGAAAAATTAGGACTCAAAGGTAGGGATTTCTAAGAAGGGAAGTCTTGAAAAGAAGAACACATAATGTTCAGAGTCGTAAAGAAAGCCTCTATGTGCATATATATGCATTTCGGCAAGAATGGCAAAGGATATTGTCACCGTTCGATGTGGTTAATGAAATTGCACGTGGTAGTCAAATGCACTCCCTCAAGGATTGATTAACAGCAACTTTTAGAGCTCTGTATATATATATTCGACTTAATTAAGTATCGTTGGAGGTAAGTAAATGTATATGTGGTCTTTACAATGACTCACGGTGGCCTACCGATGTATCGAGCCAGTGCTGCTATCCTCCCAGACAAGTCTGGT